GCCTCCTAAGAAATAAGACAATTCACTGGCAGAAAACATAATGAGAGAATAAGGCTAGATTAAAAGAAATCTCATTCCTGTGAGGCCTGTATTCCTCCCATCCTCTCTACTCAGTCACTGAAGCTTCCTTTTTCTATAGCCATATCTTCAGTCTTATAAATTGCTTTGTGCTGAAGGATGGGGATTGGTGGCACCAAGAGAAAGAAGGCTTTCCTCTTTCACCCACATGTAAATCAGAGTCCTTCTTTCCTTTCCAGGTAAATTGTACACTAGTCGATAGGGTGTTTTTGGAGAGAATACTCTTCAGTTTTATTGTCTGACCCAGAGGAAGACATCTTATTTTGAGCATTTCAGGACAAGGAGGAGGGGGAAGGCCATACCATGGTGCGTGAGTGTGGAAGATATTATGAGACACCGTGACCCTAGCAGTGTTTTCCAAAATCATATGAAGGTGGCAACCTTCTTGTTGGCTTAGACTTGTTTAGATGCAGCCCTGTCTTTGGGATGCAAAATGATGGAGTAAGATGCATTCTGAGGCCCCTTTCACTTTTTTGATAGTTGTATACTTTAAGGGGAGGAATTAACTGAAGAAGTTGAGGAGCAAGTAGAAGTTGTCCTTGGTGAGTAGTCATGGTCACAGGACAATGGTTCAGTAATGAACTGAAACCTCAGGGGCTAGCCCTGGCTTTGCCTTTACATTCCTGGGGGATCTGTATTATATTGTCAGAATTATTCCATCAGTTATAAACCTCTTAGGTTAGTGGAGAGGAAAGGGAACTAAAAGTGATTTTATAATGCTTCAAAAATCAAGAAAGGCTCTTTTTAGCCCATGATCAATTTCTGTCTACAGGAGGAAAGTCAGTAGAGCCCTCCAATAGTCTTGATGATCCCTGATAGTTTTCTCGATAATCCATTGATCCCATCACTTTTTCTCTACCCAGTCTCCTCCCCAAGTTCTCTTTAATTAGAGTCCCTTCACACCCCATTAACTCCCCCACTCCAACTGAGCTTTCCTAGCAAAACTTGCTGCTAGTTAAATCTTTCTGCCTATTCCACTTCATGCCTGCACCCAAGCAGCTGAATGTGGTGGGAGAAAAACACACAACCATTTTAATGGGTCTTACTTTAAATTTATGATGTCAAATCTCCAGCAGGACCATCGGGCTGCCGGGCAGTCCTACCACATTTCCTTGGTAATTCACGTGACTACTATCCAAGATGACTGTTTCACACTTTCTCCTCTCACCTTAAACCTCCAACATTTCTCTTTTCCTTTCCAGTTTCTTACTTGACTGAGAAAATAGAAGAAACAATAAGATAACTTTCACACATTCCCACCACCGAATCTACCCACTTCTCTGCATCTGTGCCCATTGTCTTTGCCTTCCCCCCTGTTGCAGAGTAAGATGTATCTGAGATAGTCCTTCTACTTGCACACCGGATCCTATTTCCTCTCAGTAATAGTAAAGAAGTGAACCTTGTATAATGGCCACTATGTGCCAGGCTTAGTTCTAAGTACTTTATATATTAACTAATGTAATCCTTACAACCAGCCTATGTGGTGGATATGATACCAGTTTTACAGATGAGGAAACAGAGGCACAGGGAAATTCAGTAACTTGTCCAAAATCACACAGCCATAATAAGTCTGTGTGACTCCAGAGTCCAAGTTTGTGGCCACCATGCAGTACTGCATCTCCACCAGGACATTGCTGCAGCTGTTGTCCCTTCTTTCCTGCATCATCAGTTTTCCCCTTTGCATCAGATCTTATTCATTAGCTTACAAATAAATTCTGACTGACCAGTTGCTGTGGAGTCAGCTCCGACTCATGGCGACCCCGTGTGCGTTAGAGTAGAACTGTGCTCCATAGGGTTTTTAATGGCTGATTTTTCAGAAGTGGACCACCAGGCTTTTTTTCTGACGTGCCTCTGGGTAGCCTGGAACTCACAACCTTTTGGTTAGCAACTGAGTGCATTAACTGTTTGTACAACCCAGGAACTCCTAAATAAATTCTAGTATTTCCTATTTTACAGAATTTACCCTTGACCCTATATCTCCCTCCAGCTACGTATTTCCCTGTTCTGTTTTTTAGCCAAATTTCTTGTAAGGTTTTTCTTTTTTTTTTTTTAAATATATTTGGTGTATCTACTTCCTCTTTTCTAATTTTCTCTTAAACCTCTCCAATCTGGTTTTTGTCTCTACCCTTGCACTGACACAGCTTTTGCTAAGGTCACTAATGATTTCCAAAGTGTCAAAGCCAGAGGGACATTCTCTGTCTCTTAGCCTCTCAGAGATGCTTTATTCACAGGATACCATACTCTTGGTTTTTTTCCCCCACTTCAGTGGTCACTCCCGTTTTCTTTGCTGGGGCTCCCTCTGCTGGCCACCCTCTAAATGCTGGTTGACCCTGGACTGCTTGTTTTTTGCTGCTCTCAGCCAATCTCAAGGCTTTAAATATTACTTATACGTTGGTGATTCTCAAATTTTTAGCTCATCTGTGACCTTCTAGATTTCCAACGTCTCATCTGGATGTTATAGGCATAACCATCACAAAATTAATATATCTCAAATAAAATTCTTGAGTTCGCTCTCTGTCCTCTGGTTCTCATTTTCAGTAAATAATACCACTATTTACCCAGTTGCTCAGGCCTGACATCTTGTAATCAGCCTTAACTCATTTCTTCATCCCACATCTCATAGTATCAGGGCTCTACTTTCAACTTAAATCCAAAATATCACCACCTATCACCTCTTCCAGGACTATACCCTAGTCCAGAGTACCATTATCTGTTCCTTGGGTTTTGAAATAGCCTAGTGGGTCTTCCTACTTCTTTTCTTGCTCCATTGTAGTCTCTTCTCTATCCTGCAGCCAGAGTCATCCTTTAAAAATGTAAGCCAGATTGTATTTCTCTCCTGTGCAAAACCTCCAGTGTCTTCCTGTCATATTTAGAATAAAATCCGAAGGCTTTATTAAGGCTTACAAAGGGCCTATGTGATCTAGTCCCTGCCTACCCCTCCTAGTTCATTTCTTGCCATTCTCTCCTTTCTGCCTTTCCCCCAGCCCAGTGGTTGTCTTTGCCATTCTTTGAACACAGCAAGCGCACACTTGCCTCAAAGCCTTTGTGTTTGCTGTTTCTCCTGCCCAGAATGCTCTTCTTCCTGCAGATACTGACCTAAATTAAACAAGAGAATTCAGTATTTTGGTCCAGTCTCTGTTCAAACTTTGGCTTGTCAGAAAAGCTTTCCCTGATCTCCCCATCTAAAATAGCAGTGCCTGTCATTATCTGTAAGGAGCCCTGGTAGCACAGTGGTTAAGTGCTCAGCTGCTATTAGGAAGGATGGCTGTTTGAACCCGCCAGCCACTTCATGGGAGAAAAGACCTGGCAATCTGCTCCTGTAAAGATTACAGCCTAGGAAACCTATGGGGCAGTTCTGCTCTGTCCTGTATGGTCACTGTGAGTCAGAATTGACTCGACGGCAACGGGTTTTTGTTTTTGGTCATTATCTGTTTTCTTGCCAGTTTTAATCACAGTGTAACATTATATTATGTGTCTATTTGTGTATCTGTTTGTTTACTGTATGCCTACCTGAGTAGAAAGTCGGCTCCACGAGGGCAAAGACTATTGCTCTATCTCCAGTTCCTGGAAGGGGACCTATTAGGTGCTCAAAAAATATGTGTTGAATTTTTGGAATAATGGCAGATATTAAGTCCTACAAAGTTAAAAGACGTATAATTTTAGAATAAAAAGATTAGAGGTAATATATTTCTAAAGTAAAAGAAAAAAAAAAAAACCTTTAAATGATAGATGTAAAAGAGCATGTGTGGAGAAAATTGTCTAGAAGCAGAAAAGGAGAGTCCCAGAATTCTTGAGTGGCTTTAGTCCACCCTTCTCCCTTCTGTCCACCATCTGAGGAGAGTTTCCTCTTGTAGTAATCCTGTGTTGAGAACCAAGAGGAGTGACCAAAGGGAAGGGCTTCAACAAGCTGCATGGCTCCCATCAGGGAATTCAGGGGTGCATCCATGGTGAGAGTAGGGCCATGAAGTCTTCTAGAAGCTTAAAATTGGTGAAGCAAAATGAAATTGAGGATCTTATGTTCCCTGGTGGCACAATGATTAAGCACTCAGCTGCTAGCCAAAAAGTTGGTGGTTTGAACTCACCAGCAGCTCATTGGGAGAAAAGACCTGGCAATCTGCTCCCATAAAGAATACAGTCTAGGAAACCCTTTGGGGCAGTTCTACTCTGTCATGTAGGGTCGCTATGAGTCAGAATTGACTCAACGGCACACAACATGTTCCCTAAACCTACTCCACTCGAGGCATTGAGAATGGCAGATTGTATAAGTTAACTCTTATGCTGATGATAATGATATTTCTAACTGTTGCATTTCTGATTGTCCTGGATCAATATCCCATTTCCCTTTAGAGCTGGACTGAGAAAGTTGATGCAGTTGTTTCCAGTTCCTTGGGTCACTCCTCTCTAAGGAGAACAGGATCTAAGAGTGAATTTGTGTACCTTTCACTTAATGTTGCTGCAGGCGCTAGTCACAGATGTGGAAGAAGAAGAGACTGAAAAGCATGCCAAAATAATGAATCCCCTTGTTTTGTATTATGAGCTATAAAGGGATTAGAACAACTCCCTTTAAGTTCTGTTACTATTTCCGTGTGCTTTCTAACTGATAAACCTTTAAGAAGGCAGGTTTTCTACTCTTGTAAATATGACTTTAATTATAATTTATATTACCTGAACTTTGGCCCCCAATAAATATGATGTGTGGTAATTGTCTGACATAACAGTGATTTTGAAAGCTGAAAATATAGGGTATTTGGTGGACTCATAATGCCACAAAGCTCACGTTGCACAATTTTGGCCATACAGTTTGTTTAAAAAGGCCAAGCAGGATTACTTTGTAGTGTTTGGATTGTTTCAAAAGATTCATTTGTGTGAGCCTATTCTCTTTGTTATTTCTTCATTTTTTCCTCTGATTTCTTTTTGCCTAGAGGGAGAAGATGAGGATGAAGAGGATGAAGAGGAAGAGGATGAAGAAGAAGAAGACGAGGAGGAAGATGAGGAAGACAAAGATGCAGACTTCCTGGATGAGAGCTTGGACAGTGATACTGAACTGCCTGGGTTTACTCTCCCTGGTGTCACATCCCAGGAACCTGGCATAGAGCAGGGAAACCTGGGCCCATTGGAGGGAGCCACCTACCAGGTGCCAGATGCCATCGAGTGGGAACAGCAGAATCAGGGCCTGGGTAAGAGTCACGGGGGCTTTCCTTTCCTCTTTCCCTCTGTTCTCTGCTCTTACTTTTCTAGGGTACAGCTTTCCTTCACTGGCGTCAGTCATGATGTAAAGTGAATTTTCCGTTTATGTTTATGGGTGGTTCATTCGTGAAAGAGTTACCAGTTATTTCTTCAGTATGTTTATATTTATGCTCTTAAAAGCTAGGCTCCAAACAGTCTCCAAACTGCCCATGAAGAGCACAGTTACCTGATCTTGGAAGGAATTCCATCTATCCCAGCAGGAAGACAGTTGTAGGTTTTAGGAGGACTTTCAAATGGGGAGGAGATGTGTGTAACCTATGTGCCAAGCAAGCAGCATGAATGGACTTGACTATAAAACAAATGTATTTTGTCGCCCTCTGTCTTTTTAGAATTTATACACTCAAGGGAATTCTTCCCCTGGGTGAGCATTTGGCTAGCCCCGTGCCTTTTCTGCTCATTCTTATGGTTGATTGTCATTGTCAAATGCAGTCGCATTCTAGTAGTTAGAGTGTCCAGACAGCCCCACACTTACTCTCCTGTGCATGGCTCACATTTGCAGTGATAGCCTCTGAGAACGCAGGCTGACCACAACTCTGCACTCCCCAGCCTGTCTCTTGCTTGGATTTTTCAGAAGGAGACACATATTGGATTCTCAGTGCTTCCTGGAGACCTCACTCTCTTGACCTGAGGTGAAGTGGCTTCTTCTCCAAAGAAATCCCCTCTCTAAAGTTCTTAGTCTCTAAAGTTAGGCCCTTTTATTCCTTCAGTGTAGCAGAAGTTAGGTTAAAGAGTCATATAACCAGTTTTAGGGTATTTCATTGAAAAAACTGAATGTTGGTCTAGGGCCTCCCTTTGGAATATCATGTCTAGTTTATATTTGTGTCTCAATTGAAGCTTCCAGTTTAGAATCCTATTATGCATGACTTCTTAAAGATCGTTTTTCTCTCAACTCATGACAATTCTCTTTTAGATCAGCAGTGAGAGAGGGTGAGTGCATTAAAGCAAGTATGGAGTGGGAGAATTGCAGCATCTGTTTATGATGTGATTGTGTAGTTTAAAACAAATCCTTTTTTTTGTAAAGCTGAAATTAGAATTGGTAAGACCTTTAAAGGCTTGTGATCTAACAAGGAATTCTTTTCATAATCTCTAGCACTAAAGAAACATGAATGGGGGTGTTTAATGCCATCTTCTATACCTTTGTAGGGTTCTTTGAATCCTTTAGATTTGGGTAATTGATTTAGCCAGCAAACCTAATTTAGCAGCGCTATCTTCCTGGTTCTGTGCCAGGCATTAGGGACACAGGGATAAACAAGGCAGTGCCTTCTTTCACCTACAGCAGAGCTCATTTCACAAAGATTTCAGTGCACTATGGATGAGTTGTATAATAAAAGTAGGTTGTAAGAGGGCAGAGCAGCAATGTAGAAGGGGGCCATTTAGGTTAGCTGAGAGTGGTCAGAGTTGTCACTTTATAGGTAGGAGATAGCTTGGAGGGTAGGAGGACGAAGAAAGAACATGCATAAAGGCAGTAGAAAGATGAAAGAGCATGACACATACTGGTGGGTGGGCAAAGACCATTACAAGTGGGTAAAAGGACGCTTTAGGAGACATGGCAGCAGATGAGGCTGTAAGGGTAAGCAAGGGCGGCATACGAAGGGCTCTGATGCCAAAAAGCCATTTATGAGATTAATGAAATAGTCCATGTAGGAAATGAAAACCCAGAGGAAGGCAGAGGTAGCAGGATGGAGAGAAAGGAGCCAACCTGAGCTTTTTAATCACGAGTCTTAGTGACTGGGTCACTATAAGTCGGAATCCACTCGATGGCACACAACAAGTGACTGATTTGGGGGGGCGGGTAGAGAAAGAGAGTTAAGGATGACTTCTGGGTTTTTAACTTGGGAAACTGGGTAGATAGTGATGCATTTGATGATGATAGGGAATAGAGGAAGAGAAGCGAGTTTGGCATATTAGGGGAGATGATAAGCTACTTCTGGACATGCTGAATTTTGAGTCTGGAATTCAGGAAAGAAGTCTTGGCTTGAGATATAATTCTAGAAGTATCACCTTATGAGTGCCTGGGTAGTGCAAATGGTTAAACACTCGACTACTGGCTGAACTACTGCTTCTACTAGAGTAGAACTGTCCCATAGGGTTTCCAAGGCTGTAATCGTTACGGAAGCAGACTGCCACATCTTTCTCCTGCGGAGCAGCTGGTGGGTTTGAACTACTGACCTTTCGGTTTGCAGCCAAGCACTTAACCACTGTGCCACCAGGGCTCCTTCCTTTGTTGTCTATGCCTTCCGTAGTCCCCACCCCCAGGCAACCACTGATCTACTTTTGTCCCTGTAGATTAGTTTGCATTTTCTAGAATTTTATATAAACGGAATCTTCTGTACCCTTTTGTGTCTGCCTTCTTTCATTTCATTTCGTTTTATTGTTGAGTAGCATTCAACTGTATGGATATATTACATTTTGTTTATCTGGTCACCTGTTGATGAACATTTGGATTGTCTCCAGTTTTTGGCTAATAGCAGTTAAATTTTAAGTCTATGTCAGGTTTGAGACTCAGACCAAATGGTCCTATTTTTCCCCCGTTCTGCCCATTATCCCCCTCCAGCTCTGCCCGCCTTTCCCCTGTGCACTGTTAATGCTTCTTAAATTAGTGATACCAATTTAGTGATTTGTTGTGCTTTTAGAAGTGATTTACCCGTCTTTTTTTTTAATACCAGATTTTTCTTACAGTCCGCTATATCCCTGAGTGCCTCTTATCTTTTAACTTCTTTTGTCTATAAATTCATTTTGTCAACATGTTTTTAGCATTGTAGGCTTCCTGGGAACCAAAACAAGGAATAAATCTTTCAAGCTGTTCCAGCTCTTTCCCACTGTGGGAAGACTGTGTTTGATTAGTGTCTGGGTCTAGCATTTTATTAGCTCACCATCCTTTCTTGGGCGGATAGGAATATCTCCTAGGATCAATAACTCAAAACCAGTAACAGCTTCTGGATCAGTATTAATTGATACAGCTTCCTAAATACTCTCAAGTCAGGTGAAACAGTGGAAAGCCTTCTCTATTTGTGATGGATTTTGTGGTAGGTAGAATAAAGGCTCCCTGAAGAAGCTTGTGTCCTAATGTCCAGAACCTGTGAATACGTTATATTAGATGGTATTTTAGTCAGGGTTCTCTTGGCTGGCAAGTCTAAAATCTGTAGGTCTGGTGACACACTGGAGACTCCTGCTTGCTCATGGGATTGTGGGAGGCTGGCAAGCCCAAAATACGTAGGGAAGGCAGCAGGCTGGAGACCTCTGCAGGCATGCATCCCAAGATCCATAGTCCAGGCAACAGAAAGAGTAGAGTAGAGAGTGTGAGTCCTGCCAGAATACCTATTTTTAGTCTGGAGGCAGAACACATCCTAAGGAAACTCCCTTTTCAACTGATTGAGTGTATTACATTAGATTACATTATGAAAGGTGATTACGTTACATTACATTTCATTAGATTACGTTATGGAACAGCAACTAGTCTAGTGTTTGGTCAAACCATAGCCTAGCCATGGCGACACATAAAATTTGCCATCACACATGGCAAAAGTTACTTTGCTGGTGTGATTAAATTAAGGATATTGAGATGGTTGTCTGCTTGGGCCCAGTGTAATCCTAAGGATTCATATAAGAGGAAAGCAGGGGAGTCAGAGTCAGAGAAGGAGATGTGATGATGGAAGCAGAGGTTGGAGTGATGTAGCCATGAGCCATGGAATGTGAGTGGCCTCTAGAAGCTGGAAAAGGCAAGGGAATGGATTCTCTCCTAAAGCCTCCAGAAAGAACCTGCCAGCTCTGCAGGACTCATTTCACACTTCTGACCTCCAGAACTGTTAAGCAATAGAATTGTGTTGTTTTAACCACTAAGTTTGTGGTAATTTGTTAAAACAGCGGTTGGAAATATACAGATTTCATTGTGTATTTCATGAGCAGTGTCATTTTAGAAAGTAGAGCTACATGGCAGCAGTGTCAACATGTGAAAATTGTAAAATAAACTGTGTTTTTCTAAATGAATCAATAAAAACACAAACATAGAGATTCTTTAAAAGGTAATCCTATTTAATTCATTCCTATTTTTAAATGAATTAATTTGTTTATGTTTTATCACGTGTTTTGTAATATGAATAATATTCCAAAGCAAATGCTTAAATCCATATAAACTTTTAAAAATGAACAGATTGGGGTGGGTAGTTGGGATTGGCTAAAAATAATGCAAACTCTTTGAATAGATTATAGTCTCATTTCCTGTGAAGCAACAAAAGCAGAAAACTTAGATGACTTTGTAAGGCAAAGCAGAGGATTCATGGCCTCAAATTCTCTGAGTTTCTATTTTTTGCATTGTTAAATATACATTGCTACTAAAGCTTTGGAGGAGCAGAGCTTAGTTTATCTTGCTGTAGGAAGGTGGAACTGTGGTAATTGTAGGGATAGAGGGAATCAGGAGTGAAAATTCCAAGTTATGGTTGAGGCACATTAACTGATAAAATGCAAGTAGTATGTAAACCTGAAAAATTCATTGCATTCCAGTTGATTCCAATTCATGGTGACCCCATGTGTGTCTGAGTAGAACTGTGCTCCATTGGGGTTTTAATGGCTGTAATCTTACGGAGGAGCCCTGGTGGGTCAGTGGTTACAAGCTCAGCTGCTAATCAATAGATCATTAGTTCGAATCCACCAGCTCCTCCTTGGAAACCCTATGGGGCAGTTCTACTCTGTCCTATAGGGTCACTATGAGTTGGAATCTGTTTGGCGGCAACGGGTTTTTTATTCTTATGGAAGTAGATTGCCAGGCCTTTCTTCCATGGCACCACTAGGTGAATTCAGACGCCAACCTTTCAGTTAGTAGCTGAGTGCAAACTGTTTATGCCATCCAGGGACCTAAGTGGCATGTAGGAAGCTCTTTATTGGCATATGCAGAATAAATTTCTTCTCTGATTCAACACATTCATTTTCAAAT